GATCGAATGGCCTTCTCTGCCACAAGCGGCGAGTGGTGTGGTGCATGACAGGAGCGATGGTGTGGAGAGGAAGAGAGGTGGTGTGATCGGAGGTGCTGCGTTCGAAGAGGGTTTCGATGGCGGTGATGTGATCGACGTGGACGGACACAATTGTGATGATACGGGCGAGCCGCAGCAGCCACACTGGCCACAACAACAACAACAACAACAACAACAACAACAACAACAACAACAACAACAACAACAACAACAACAACAACAACAACAACAACAACAACAACAACAACAACAACAACAACAGCAACAACAACAACAACAACAACAACAACAACAACAACAACAACAACAACAACAACAACAACAACAACAACAACAACAGCAACAACAACAACAGCAACAACAACTGCAGCAGCCACACTTGCAACAGCAGTTGCAGTTGCTGCCACAAGTGCACCATACCGTCGCTCAGCATGTGTCGCTGAACAATCAATTTTTGCATCATCACAAGCAACTGCAGATACAGCAACAACACAACCACCAGCAGGTCCAGCAACAGCAGCACTCGGCATCGTGGCAGTTTGCACTGCACGATGCCCAAGGTGCCAAGAACAGACGCAGTCGGAGACAACGTCGCCAACAGCACAGGCGCCAGCAGCGGAGAGCACATCAACGTCGTCCGCATGCCCTTGAATGAGCAGTGTGGTCCCACCACTCCGGTCGCCGTGATGGAGACACACTCAGACGCACATACACACACGCACACACGTATGCGCATAGACATTACCGTTGCCTCGACGACACAACAAGCTGTCCTCCCACCCTCTCGTCCACCACATCGCAAGGACCCAACCTCTGACATGTTCCTGCAGTATTGCTCTGTGTTTGCACCAGCTTTAGTTCTGTGGGCCTATCGTTCTTACTTTTGTGTGCTTGTGTGTCTGTGCGTGTGCGTGTGTGTGTCTGTGTCTGCGCGTGTCACATGTGCGACCGCTACTGCAGCTGCTGGACTGTCGTTCTGTGTCTTGTACCGTTGAAGATGAAGGCATGCCAAGTTGACGAGCAACCTTTGCTTGCGTGTACCCTGCAAATACAACGCCAACAAGGGCGCGATGTGCGCTCTTGTTGGCGTATGCCTTTTCTTTCTTCTTCTTTTTTTTTTTCTGTGTTTTGTTTGCGCCATTGCACGACGAGTAAACAGCGAGATGCAACGGGGAGAAGGTGTTGACATCGTGCACAGAAGCTTGTCTGAGCGATCTGCAAAACCTTGGATGCTCTGATGAAGCGAAATAATGTTCAACCAGAAATGCCATGTGTATTCCAATGAGTTTAACAAGGCATTCTGACAAGAACATGAACATACAAAATCACGTTTTGGGCTTTCCTGTTGGTTCTAGCACACCAAACAACGTCATCTTCTTTGTGCTCATGAACGTGACAAGCACCGCTGCTATGGTCAACGCCATGGAGAAAGCCCAGGATGGGGCGTGCGCTGCGCACCACGCTTCATATGGGGTGGCAGACACACCTTCAAAGATGAGCCTGTTACACAGCAATGCTTCGCTCAAAGCGAGTCAAATTGGCAACATTCGATAGCCCGTTGAGCGGGGCTATCGGATGCATGCCTTTTGACGCCATGATCCTCAACACAACGGCAGATATGAGAGTAGTAAGACACATCATCGTCATAAGCAGTCTTCGGGCAATCAAATTATGTAGCATTGAGCGTTTGCGCGTGGTCTTTGGGGTAATCTTTGAGAGGGCGAGAAAAGTTTTCCCTTTCCGTTTTGGGGTGGTTGCCCAGCGAGCATTGCACACGTTGGTCGCCCTTAGGCACTTTCCCGTTTTGGGCCCCCGTTT